CCATATTTTCTTTATCCATTCATCTGCTGATGAGCAAGATTTAGCTATTGTGAATTGTGCTGCTATGAACATGGTTACACATGTATCACTATAATCTGATTCTTTGACTCTTTTGAGAAGAAGATGCCTAGAAGGAGAATAGCTGGGTCAAATGGAATTTCTAGTTTTCATTTTCTGAGGAATCTCCATACTGATTTCCATAGTGGTTATACTAGTTTACATTCCCACCAACAACAAAGGGTTTCTTTTTCCCCCACAGCCATGCTACCATTTGTTGTTATTTGATTTCTTGATGATAGCCATTCTTTCTGGAGTAAGAGAGCATCTCAGTGTTGCTCTAACTTGTATTACTCTAAGGGCCACAGATATTCAACATTTTTTCATGAATTTATTGGCCATTTGTTTTTCTTCTTCAGAAAAGTATCTATTCATTTCAGCTGACCATTTTTTTATGTCTTTTATTTTGGGGTATATAATTTTTTTTAGTTCTTCTTATATTCCAGACATGTGTACTTTGCATGAAGTAGCTGGGAAAAATATTTTCCCATTCCGTAGTTTATCTCTCCACTCCTTTGCTATGCAGAAGCTTTATAGTTTGATAATATCCCATTTGTTGATTCATGCTGTTATCTCTTGTGCAATTGGGATTCTGTTCAGAAATTCTTTCCCTATGCCTATGACTACAAGTGTTTTACTTATTTTTCAGCAGATTGTTTCTGTTTTAATATTTAGATATTTGATCCATTTTGATGTTAGTTTAATGAGAGATACTGGTCTAATTTCAGTCTTCAGCATATGGATAGCCAGTTTTCCTATCATTTGGTGAAAAGAATACCTTTCTTCCAGTGTAATTTTTTGATTCCTTGTCAAAGATAAAGTAGCTTAATGTGCCTGGTGTTGTTTCTGTGTCTTCCATTGATCCATATATCTGCTTTGCCAATACTGTCTTGTTTTTATCACTGCAGATTTGTAGTATAACTTCAAGTTCTGGATTGTGATACCTCCTGTCTTGCTTTTGTTGCCCATGAATGTTTTTGTTATTCTAGATCTGTTCTGGTTCCATATGAATTTTGGGATTGTTTTCTATAGTTCTGTAAAGAATGCTATTGGAATTTTAATTGGGATTGTGTTAAATCCTTGTATCAGCATTTGAAGTATGTTCATTTTTGCTATATTCATTCTGCCTATCCAGGAACAAGGAATATGTTTTCATTTTCTGATGTCCTCTTTGATCTCTTTTTTCAGAGTGCTGTAGCTTTCATTGTACAAGCCTTTCATTTCCTGGGTTAGGTTAATTCCTAGTATTTAATTTTTATTGATGTTATTGTAGAAGGTATTGTTTCACGAATGTTTCTCAATGAGTTTATTATTGATGTAAAGGAGTGCTATTGAGTTGTATGTTAACTTTGTATCTTGCTATGCTAATGAATTTTGTTCTTAATTCTTGGAATCTTTTAGTGGAATTTTTGGGTCTTCCATGTAGAGGATCATGTCATCTGCAAATAATAAAAATCTGGATTCTTCCTTTCCTATACATATCCCTTCTATTTCTTTCTCTTGCCTGATTGCTTTGGCTAATGTTTCAAGAACTATAGAGTCTGCTACAAAAATGTATACGCATTTCAATAGTTTGCCATACCAATAAATGGAAGCTAATAGCTACCCTCTTTGAGCACCTCTTGTAATTGTAGAGGCCAAAGGTAACTTGTATTAATCTCATAGGGTCTCAATAAATTCAGTATTAAAATATTTATACAAGTTCTTCTTTTCCTAATGTATACTTATTTTTGGCAGACTCTGTATATTGAAAAAGACTGGTGATAGTGAACATCCCCGTCATTTTCCTGATTTTAGAGGAAAAGATTTCAGCTTCTTTCCAATGATTTTTGTCATTGCTTTGTCATAAATGACTTTCATCAGCTTGAGATAAGGTTCTTCTAAACATATTTTCTTCAGGGTTTTCTTCATCACGAATAGATGTTAGATATGTCAGATTTTATCAGTCTTTTATTTTGTCAATTGTGATGACCTGTGTGGTTTTTGTCCTTGCTTCCGTTTATTTGGTGCATTACCCTTACTGATATGCATGTGTTGAGTGACCTTGCATCCCTAGGATGAATCCTATTTGGTCATGATGTATGATCTTTTTAATGATTTTTGCATTCTGTTTGCTAGTATTTTATTGAGGATTTTTGCATCTATGTTCATTAAAAAGATTGCTTGTAGTTTTCCTTTTTGATTGGGTCTTTGTCTGGTTGTGGAATCAGAGCTATGCCAACTTCCTGGAATGACTTTGAGAGTATTCTCTCTCTTTCAATTTTTTTTTTTTTTAGGGGGGGGACCGGGGATCAAACTTGGAACCTTGTGCTTGCAAGGCAGGCAGCAGAACCACTGAGCTAAATCCCCAGCCCCTTCTCTTTTTTTGGTACCGGGGATCGAACTCGAGTCCTTGCACTTGCGCAGCAGGCAGCAAAACCACTGAGCTAAATCCCCGGCCCTCTCTTTCAGTTTTATTAAAGAGTTGGCAGAGTATTGGCATTAGATCGTCTCTAAAGTTCTTGTAGAATTTGGCAGTAAATCTATCGGGACCTTAGTTGGTAGTTTTTTAAAATTACTCCTTCAATTTCATTACCTGATATTCAATTTTTCAGAAATTTTATCTCTTGGTTCTGCATTGGTAGTTCATATGTACAGTATATAGATTTACAGTATATAGGAATCATCCATTTCTTCTGAATTCTTTCTATATAGTACAGGTTGGCCTTGAACTCATTATGCAGCCCAGGTTCACCCTGAACTCATGGCAATCCTCCTGCCTCAGCCTCCAAGTACTAGGATTTCAGGCATGTTGCACCAGCCTCGAAAGGCTTGTTCTCTTATAACACCTTCTCTGAAAACTAAGTAGGACCCCATGCTCTTTCCTGTTTTGAGAAAAAAGAAACTTCTCTTGATGTGTATCTTCAGAAAAATATGTATATATGTGTGTATATATATATATATACACATATATATATATTCTCTATCCTGAACTTCGCTTGATACTCTACATATATATTCTACAGGTATATTCCTACTTCATATGTCCAACATTGAATTTTTCTTATACTGTATCTTATACTGTACTCTCTATCTGTATTTATATTCTTAAATAATGGCCCCATCATTCCTCAATTACGCAAATGTACTGAACTTTTTCCCTGTGTTTACCTGGCAGTATCAATAAATTATATTGGCCTGTTGAATTTTACTTCCCATATAGATTACAATCTGTTTCTTATTATGTTAAACAAATGCCCTGGTTTAGTTTCCTAGCATCTCTTCCTCAAACTGTTCCACAGACCTCTAACTTATCTTTTTACCTATAATTCTTCCACTATTAAAATTCATCCTCTTTAATACATACCAAGAACAATTTAAACAAATCCTGACACCTTCTCAGCATTTGAATTAAAAAATGAGGATTTTTATGTTACAAGGTAATGGAAATTACTGGTGATATGGCTTTTGACAACTCTAGTAGCCTCCCTCAGCCTCTAACTCCTTGTTTGTACAATGAAAATGATAAATCCTAGCCCTAGTCATTGTGAGAAACATGTGAGAAAATATTTGGCGTAGTATATGCACAGTGTTTAGCAGCCCTTGTATGACAATAGGATGGTGTCACCACCAGGTGCACCTTGAGTCTGAAGAGAATCCTGGACACAGGAAAGCTTGGGAAGCAGCTCCTTAGGGAGCCCTTGAAAATAAAGATGTCAGTTTCCTTCTCATAATGTGGAATATTGTAGAAGTTAAAAGAAATAATAATGACAAAGTACCTAGAATGTGGTTGGTAAATAACAAGCACAGGATGAAAACTCGAAAGTGAGCAAGAACAAACCCAAGAAAATATGAGATCAAGAAACTTGTCCCTCTTTTGGTCTAAGCACTACCCATTACAGTAGTCCTACTAATCCAAGGTTTTGGTTTCCATAGTTTCAACTACTTATGGTAAACTGTGGTCTGAAAACATAAAATGGAAAATACCATAAAATAAACAATTCCTAAGTTTTAAGTTGCATGCTATTCTGACCAGCATAATAAAATCTCAAAAAAATAATAAAATCTCATGCCATCCTGCTCCATCCCACATGGGATGCAAATCCTTCCTTTGTCTAGCATAGCTACACTGAATATGTTAACCACCCACTAATCACTTAGTAACTGCCTTAAACATCAGATTGTCATTTTATCACAATGCTTGTGTTTATTCACCTTTATTTTATTTAATAGTGGCCTGGTTAGATGCTGCCAATTCAGATATGCCGGACTGAAGCCGTAAGTGCTTCCCTTAAATGGAAAAGTTACGGAAAATGAAGGCTCTCTACTTAATAAGTAAAAAAATAAAAATAAAGAAGATTCTGTGCTGAAGTTGCTAGGATCTACCATAAGCTATTTTGAGAGAGAGAGAGAGAGAGAGAGAGAGAGAGAGAGAGAAAATCCTCATTCACATAACTCATTATACTATATTGCTATAATGGTTCTATTTCAGTATTAATTTTTATTAATGTCTTGATGTGTATAATTTATAAATTAAACTTTATTCTAGATATATATATATATAGGAAAATATTAACTATATATATGGTTTGCTACAATGTGCAGTTTCAGGCATCTACTGCTCTTCTTAGGTAATACCCCTAAATCATAAGGGGATTATTGTACTTATTTTGCTGATGTCTACTTTTAAAAATCTGTAACTATCCTGTCCAAAAGTGTTCCATTGTTGGTGTTGACACTGTTTGTCATTCTAAAGGAGAGTTAGCGGTGAGATAACAGGCTGGCCCAGTGTGTTTACTTTTCAGCTTCAACCGCAGATAGTGTTTACCAGATGTTCAACATCTGTGTTTGACAGATGAAAAACTTCAGTGTTTAGTGGTCAGTTTGGCTTTCAAATTCCCAATCATAGTAGTTCCCCTTTCTTGCTGAATACAGGCTGGCATTGACCCCAGGCTCTACTTTAGGATTCCACTGAAGATCCTGATGGAGGAGGAAGGTACCCAGAGAGAAGAGCCCATGGAAGATGGAGTTGGTGATGCCCAACATTTCGGTGAGAACCCTCTGGGTGTGTACTTCATTCTCAGAGTTTCAGCACATATTTACAAGTAGCTATTGCACCATACATAATGGGAGTGAGCTGGCATTTTCCAGTATAAATGTAAGAGTCCACAAGCATCAGGAAGATAAGCTGAGGCTAGCACTCCCTGCCCAGAGCTTCACTCACATGTTCATTCACAGCTCCTCACCTCACTGAAGACATGTTGGAGGTTTGTTTAAACCAGATGCTGAATGACAAAGCAGCAGGTGCAAAGAGGTCATTTCCACTGATTCATCAGTCATTCAGAAATCAAGCCCGGACAAAAAGTATGGGAGGGGACATAACACAGCCATTGATTCCACTGTCTCCTCCCAGGAAGGACAAGGCTCCAACCCAGCTAGTCCCAACTCACAGGGTTATGTTGCTGGCTGAAATCTTTGCAAAATGTTCTCCTGGCAATCAAACAGAATAAATGGACTCATGAAATATTTTTCCTCATTTTTTTTTTTTTAACATCAGTTGATCAAGTAACCAGGGGACTCAGGGGTGTTCTGGGCACCTGGTTTCAGTCAAGCTCATTAATATTTTCCTGTGGTCCTTTTCTATTGCAAGGGGTTTTCAAGCTAGATTTAATTTTTTTATTTACTCTCTATGCTAAGTTCTAAACACAAGGAATTAAAATGGAAAGCTCTTGTGTTACAGTTCTTCAGAAAAACAGATATATACACAAATTTCTCTGTGTGTATGGGGGGGGGTGTTAAAAGAAGGTGTTAAAGGAATTGTTTTCCTCTATTGTGGGAACTACAAGCCTGAAATCTGTAGGAAGTATGTATCTTGAGCAGACACAGAAAAACAAAAAACAGAAAAATAGCAAAGCAACAATATGAAATATTTTGGCACTTAACCAAAGTTAAGCATGGAGATGGGAAAAACTTTTGGAGAGTGATTTCTGAATCACTGTCACTGGGTGAACTGTGGTTATAAAGAAAGAGGGTAGCCAGAATTTACCTTAGTGGTGCTGCACCTGCCTCACAAGCTCCAAGTCCTGAGTTTGATCCCCGGTACACACAAAAAGTAATAAATAAATAAAGAGGGTAATAAGTGTGACACATGTGAATAACTGCAAATAGTTTATTTATTGTAATTGGAACAGTCCCTCTCGTTGGAAGAAGAGGGAGGAAATGGTAAAATATTAAGAAAATAACCTGGAATAACCAGATGACTTATTTGTTTTCAACTGAGGATTCCTGATTTATTTTATCCTAAAAGCTTTGAAGACTCACTGAAGAATGCTAAACATTAAAGTGGTAAGATTCGATTTTCAATATTTGAGGCCACTTTGTATAATTATTCAATAACTATTTTTATAGTGTCTCTCATGCATAAGTTACTGCACTGAGAATGCAAAAGTGGATAAGATCCCTGACTTTATAAAGTTTAGAATTTCTTGGGGAGATGAAGGAAAAAAGACTAATAAAATAATTGAAGGTTGTAATTAGTGCTATTGAGGCCAGAGCTTGATTTAGAAGCTTATTATAATTCCAGTATCTAGCTGCACCTGCCTCTGTGCCACCACCACTGCCACAAGCACTACCCTATCCCCACCACCACTGCATCACTTCCCACCATAAATAGAAGCTTTAAAGACTCAGCTGTCCCCTACCCCATCCCCTCTCATGGCCAAATGCATAGGATTTTGAGTATGATTCTTCCAGACCTTTTTTTCCACAATGTGAGTCTTACCTTCCGTTTTAGGTTCTTCCATCAGCTTTTGTCTTGGATGAGCTTTGCTTACTACACATGAGCAGTCCCTCTTGCCTTGGGTCTAGTGAGACTCTATCTCCCCCTGTCCCCTGAGCTTGTTACTGGTCATCTCTAGAAGTGGGAGTTTACTGGGGAGCCCTGAAACGTTACTGGAACCTCTGCAGTAGGCGCCAGTCTCCTGCTCAGTGTATGATGCAGAACTGAGGGGGAAAAAAACCTTAAAAGACAGAACTAAGAGAGACAGAAAGCAGGGTGTCAGGACAACCAATGCCAGTACAACCAACAAAGGTGCTGGCCAGTCCAAGCCACTGATTTTTATTGGTAATCAATTGGGGTAAAGGTGAGCTATGTGCAAGGGCAGGGCAGAATTACATGCAAGGACATGCAATCATCCAGTTTCTATAGAAATTGATGTAAGCAAAGTTCATAAAGGGCAAGACAAAGCATTACCAAATTAGGAACAAAATAGACAAAATATATGGTTGTAAATAAAACGTTGTTCTTCTAGTAAGGTTTCAATTGTGGGAATGGAATTTGGGTGTGAGTTACTGTAGCACATAGGCTTTGGCCGGACTCACTTTTATAAACAAGCCAATTGTGGGGTTAATTCTTTACAGCCTTCTTTGGTCATAATAATCAATATTACAGTCTCCTGAATCTCCCCCTTCTCTGTTTGGAAATGGCAGCAGCTACATTAGGGAGAGCTGCGATTGCCCTTGGGGCCTGTTTGCTCCTGGGTCTCATAGGCTGATGGTGCATCAGATCTGGTAATCTGCACAAGGCCCAGGGCCACAGCAGGTGAGGGGATTCACTCAGAGGAAGCCTTTGCATGGCTCTCAGCAGGGGTGTTACATCGTGCTGCTTGCAGCAAATCCATCATCTTGGTGCATGGCTGTATGGTCTGGGATGATGGCCACAGTATATTTTTATTTTCTGTGGAAAAATAAGCATAACCTGGCCCTTATGTAATTAATTGTATTGAGCCATTTACTTTTTAGTTAGGACATCCTTTGACAACATTAGTTTCTAGGACATGTTTGAAGATTTAACTTTGTATCAGTGGAGTTTATTTATCTTCTATAAATGAATTTAAAATTTTAAAATGAAAGTAACAAGAGAAAGTAACAAGGTCTAATGGAGTTTGTGGAGGTAGCTGTATCCTTCCCTTTTTTGTTTATGTAATTGTGTTTTTAGGGAAAAGTGAGTACGCCCAACAATGCCTTGTCCTTGTAGATTATAAGAACCTATAATATGTTTAAATGACTTAGCTGTTTATAATAATTTCCTGTATAAAGAGCATCCCCAGCTGCGGTTAGGGGAGAAAGGACGTAGTTTCAATCCAACTGCTTTGAGCTGAGAAGGGTTGATGTAGGGAAGACTGCAGTTAGGGACTGACTACAGAGAGCCAATTTAATAGGCCTTAAGTAAAAATCATGTTGTAATTTAGCAATTATAAACTCTATAGAATCAATCCGGTGGATTTTGTTTAAAAAAAAGTGGAGCACATTTGTTGTTGATTTTATCTATATGATCATTTGGAGTTTGGCAGCCTATAGTCAAGAAAAAACAATGTTTTTAGGAAATTAGGGTATGTATAATCAAAGTATAAGTACTAAAATAAAAAAAGTAAGTTGGGGAAAGAGCCATGTTTAGAAACTGTTTTTAAAGGATTAAAAGAGCAATTGTAACCTTCTGGCTCTTAGACCCTTTCACTAATGAAGGTTATTACCATAAACAATATATTAGAAAACCTGTACAGTCAGAAAACATGAATACATTTAGTACACCAGAAAATTAACAATAATAAGTGTCACAATTATATGAAACTTTATACCCTTTAATTTAGTTTGGTACCAAAAGCATCTTTTCAATAAAACCTTGTTGTTTTTCTCACAGAAAATTTAATCTTTTGAAGATGACCAGTGTAAACATATTACAATATCACATTTACAACTTAACCCGTTTGATAACTGATGTAAAGATATCATAATAACATATTTAAGTAATACTCACTGATGTAAGTCTCTTATAAGGCTATGAAAACTATTGGGGTCAGTGTGTTATAAGACTATGGAAACTTTTGCGGTCCCCCTAATGCACAAAGGCTGCAAAATATTTCCAAATATTTTTGGAGGAGTGGTCTCCCACAGGAGTTGAAACTGCCACATGATCAATGAAGTCAAAGGAGATGGGAAAGGAGGAGATGTTGACAGATATTTAAAAGGTAAAAATGAGGGCTGGGGCTATAACTCAGTCACAGAGTGATTGTCTAGCATGTATGAGGCTGTGGACTTGATCCTCAGCATTGAAAAATAACTAAGAGGTAAAAATGATGTGATTTAGTAAAGGATTGTTACTAGCAGTTGAAGGAGAATGAGGAACTAAAGAAGCTTTGTAGACTGTGGAGTTGTATTACTGGATATAAGAGGGTGATCTTTACTTAACAATGGACTATAACAAAAAAGAGGGCTGAGGGATGCACATGGGAGTCCAAAATGATTTGGACAGGTTGGTCCCACCATGTGCAGGGACATCCATGTGGAAGTATGCAGCCTATGGTCCCTACCCTCCCCCATATGCACCTTCAGTCACCCTCCTTCTTGTACTGAGGACTGTGATAAATGGAACAGAAAACAAGAGACTGATATTTCCAGAAGGATCTAGGCATTCAACTATTTACAAGTCACTGAGAATTTAAAATGAAATACTAACAGCCCATGAGAGCTAAAACCTTCTTTTGTGAACTAATACTAGTGAATTATTCGTCTAGGGTAATGTTACCCTCTACCAATACAGATCCTTCAAAATTGCCCGTGTAAGAAATTTTCCACCTGGATAATCAATCACTTTTATAATTTCTGGACATGGGACAAAACTAGGCTTTATAACAGGAAATCAACCACATCAAGGTTTGTGTAGACTACATTGCCCATCAGAATGAGTGTGTGTGTGTATGTGTGTGTGTGTGTGTGTGTGTGTGTATGCACCCACATGTATTTAAGCTACTGGAGATTGAACCTAGAGAGTACTGAACCTTTTTTATTTTTGAAACAGGAACTCACTAAGTTGTCCATGTTGGCCTCAAACTTGCTATCCTCCTGCCTCAGTCTCCCAAGTACCTGGGATTACTGGTGCGTGCCACTGTGTCCACTGAGACTGACATTTTAAATGTGGTTTCTTTTTGTTCCCATCTGAACAGCAACAAATGGATTTCAATTATCTTTGTTAGATATATTTATCACTTACAG